TGCTCTTGACTTGTTTAGCTTTTTTTGGCTGAGGTGAAGAAGGGCTCTTCCATTGCGACGATTGCTGCTTGCTTTCAGGGTCGTAGCCATAAACCCAACTTTCGTCACCAGTGACAACCTTCGAAAGAAAGTTTGGATCCTCCTGAAGCTGTTGCTGAAGTTCCCTGCAGACTTCCAAGCGATGCTGCTTCTGTTCATTTTGCAGCAGTCGTGGCACAAGCTTCACCGCAGTCCTCCTCATGTTCAGTTCCTCTGACAAAATTCGTTGACATGTACCATAACTTAGTCCGAAGGTGTTACAGAGGTCTTGGATGGTCAGTCTGTGATCTTGCAGAATCAGATCCCTAACTTTTGTGACATTTTCTGGTGTTTTGCCTGTTGACGGCCGTCCCGAACGATCGTCATCATCAGTCAATGTTCGGCCATTTTTAAAACGCGTATACCAGTTGTAAGTTTGTGTGTGGCCTAAACTGTTTTCACCAAAAGCTTGCTTCAATATTTGGTGCGTTTCTGCAGTGGTTTTCCCAAGTTTGAAACAATACTTTATACAGACACGCTGCTCTCTCAGGTCAGCAATCGCAAAACCGCAAACTCACGGAAACACAACAATGGAAATACGTTCATCAACAATAAACCCAACCACTCAACTCGACGCCGCTTGCCACACTGATTCAAGAAGGATGTGTGAGGAGACACTTAGCGGTATTTCGATGTACTCGTAACCATTCACGTGCAAAATTCAAATTTCGGAAACTTTTAGATTGCCCTACGTAGTTATAGCTTCATTTCCCCTCAGTCTCCTATCTGAATCCTTGAAAATATAGGTTGTGCTGTGGGATAGGTTCTTGAGAACATTTTACTTTTAAAACTGGTGATGTATAATATTTTGTTACAATTCTGTTATATGATATAATTTTAATTTTGTTTAACCTTAATTGTGCTGCATGAAGGGTGGAAGAAATTTTCAAAGATTCGTCAGTTTTGGAGTTCAAAGGAAGCTGGTGGAGGTAAATAATGGAAGGTTATTGTTAATGTTTTCAAATCATATGAAGATTATTCATGCCATCCCCTGTGTTTTCTCAAAAACATGCAAGTTATACAGATATTGTTGCATGATATAAAGTATGGTTCCTTTTTAGGTATGTAACTTTTATTTCAAACATTTTTAGTTTATTAATGTTAAAACATGTACATATAGGTCCTTCCATTCCTTCCACAGTGTAATGTCTATAGTATGATTACCAAACCAACAACGAATGTACCAGGCACGTTTGTATATGTAGCTGTACCGCTAGACTTTAGTCAGGCGCTTGGTGCACATCCCCGCTGGGACACAGCTATCTTGACTGAGTTTTTTCATAGTTTTCCTCAGTTCCTTCTTGCAAGGGCTAGGACAGTATCTCACTAGCACTTATTTCCAAATTGTGTCCCATTCATTATTCATCAGCCATGTTACCATTCATTGTGGTGTAGTCTTGTGTTGTAAGGTAAACCACATACAACAACAGATTTGTATTTTTAAATCAAAGTCAAGGTAAGTGGGGTACGTAAAACTGCAAAGAATGGTTTTGGAAATTATGTGTACTTTAATGGAGTGCAGGTGTTTGCTTTGTTTGTTCTATGTTAATTTATACTTGTGTGAGCCTTATAGTGATTTTAGTGAATCTGTGGAAAAGAATGTAACTTCAGCAGATCCCACAGTTTATTTATTTCTCTATTTTACATGTGCATGGACACATGCATGTGTAGATATGTGTAATATATTGGACAAACAGGATGCACATTCAAAGAATACATAAACACTATTAGGACAAATAGGTGAAACTATAAATTCGTACAACACATTCTAGAAATGTGACACGCTAATGATACAGTAGACCAGATTATGGAAATACCAGGTGCAATTGGAAAGTTCCAGACTGTTATTGTTGTAACTGCCTCAGTGAAAGCAGATGAGAGAGGATGCCAAGGTGACACATCCTCAAGCCTGTTAAATCAGTCTGCCACATGACACTGTGCTGAGAACACACGAGCACTTTTTCAACTTTGTGTTTCATTTCATCTGCAGTGGATGGCAAAATCGAGCAATGGGTCTGCATTAAGTTTTGTATAAAGGTCAGTAAATCCACTACCGAAACCTGTGAAATGCTTCGTGAGGCTTTTGGAGAACATTCTTTAAGCCAGACAACGGTTTCTGAATGGCACTCACGTTTCAAGGCTTGTCAGGTTTCAGTTGAAGGTGAATATTCAGGGTGACCAAGCACCAGCAAAATGACAGGAATTGAGGAAAAAATTCGAGAACTTATCCACAAAGACCATCACAGAACAGTCCGTGAGCTCACAGACACCGTTGGAATCGGCTATGGAGTTTGCCAGGAGATCTTAACAGAAAATTTGAGCATGTGTCACATTTCCGCGTAGTTTATTCTCCGACTCTTGACAGATGATCAAAAGCAGCGGCGCATAAACATGTCTCTTGAGCTATGAGAGAAGGCTAACGAGGACCCAACTTCTATATGTAAGATGTAATGGTTGATGAAAGTTGGATTTATGGTTATGGTCCAGAAAGAAAGCAACAAGCATTGCAGTGGAAGAGCCCACAATCACAGCAAAAAAGGTGCAACAGGTCCAGAGTTCAACAAAGAGCATGCACATTGTTTTTTTCATTGTGAAGGGGACTGTTCACCATGAATCTATTCTCTTAACACTATGGTCAACTCTGGTTTATACCGTGATGTTTTGAGATGCTTGAGAGAAAATATGTGACAGAGCAGACTGGGACTTTGGTGCAGCCACAACTGGTTCTCTCATCACGACTGAAAACCACAGAATTTGTGACTAACAACAACATGGTTATCGTTCCCCATCCTCCCTACTTGCCAGACTTAACCCCATGTGATTTTGCTTTGTTTCCCAAATTGAAAATGAAACTGAAGGGACAATGTTTTGAAAGAGTGTCTGACATCCAAAGGGAATTGCAAGTGGTACTTGATAGCATTAAGGAAAATGACTTCCATGGTGCTTCAAAGCATGGAAAAATGGTGGGATCACTGTATACATTCCCAAGGAGACTATTTTGAAGGAGATGGCAGCCAAAATTTTGTAAGTTAAGCCAGCATTTCTTTTTTGACCTACTTCAGGAACTTTCTGATATTCCTCATATTATAGAAAAAAAAAAAAAGAAAGTGACCAAGCTCAACACATTGGAAAGATTTCATTTATGCATGCAACATAACCAAGAAGGGTCTACGAGTACAAATGAATGATACATTTACAAATGTATATAACCCTATATTTAATATTTTATTTAAAACATACATAAATAACCTCACCCCTCCCCACCTTCACAGCAATAGTACACTGTGTGTGTGTATATATATATATATACATACATACATACACACAGCTGTAACAATTTGGATTATAATATAAAGCTTGCATGTGAGAGTTGTACAACTCATTTTCCCAGGAAGTTTAAAAGCCAGCACAACCAAGATTCTGAGGAAAGATCTCAGCAAGCAGTTGCCCCACATCACAACTATTACCACCACAGTGGAACAACCAAGCAACATATATACAGATATGTAGCAGTCACAAGTCTTAAATAAGACTAATAATTTATAAATATCTTAATCTCTGTTTAATTTTGATTGTATTTTTATCCTTTTAATGTCAAATTTTAAACTATATTCGAGTTACATTTAAATTAAAGTGTATCTGTCAGCAAGAAAACTTACGTAAACACACTATGGATCCATATTGAACTATGATACAATTCAGGAACTAGTATCAGTATTCTTGTATGCCTGAAGATGACCAAGAAAAGGGTTGAAACATGTAGTGTTACCACCAACAGCTAATAAAACAAATGTTGACACAGTAGCATCTGTTCTGTCTTTTTCAGAATTATTATTGTGTACACTGTCACATTATATATCTTTCATGTGTATATGCACTGTTGCATCTTTCATTCACACCAAACATTGATTTGTTATAGGATCAGCATTGAGTTCTGGGCATTCGTCAGAGTCATTGGAGAAATCAAGCCGACACAGCGGGAGAGTATAGCAATAGTGTCCTGTTAGTTCCATGTAGTAACACAGCATCAGTTAGTGCAAGCTTTGGTATACCACAGAATGCAGACATTGATATTTAACAAAAGCATGATGGAGAACAGCATGTATTTTAAGCAGTCACAGGTAAATGAAAGTTTGATTCGTGTTTCATTGAGGATAAACTCAAAGAATAATTTAGCAGTCACGTTAGTATTAGCCATGGAATGTTTCAAAGTGGAGATACTAAAAATTCCTTTCAGTAATATGGGACTGGTGTATTGTGTAACCATGCATAACATACCATTGATACTTCACACTAGGAAGCAATTGAACTAATTGAGTCCTTTTCTTTTCTTTCCCCAGGCAGCCTAAGTTTTCCATGGTGTACCAGAATCCACAATATAACAGACCTTATCTGCATTAACTTATTACTGACTGATTATTAAACTAGTGCAAGACTTAATTCATCTCACTCTGTGCAATATAAGATGTGATGACAACTTTGAACATGGTGGCCAGTAACAGTATCGTGAAAGAACTTAGTGTGGAGGCACAAAGAAAAATTCTTTTTCAGATTTAGTATGAACATTTCTTATTGTAGCTTTCAGGGTGGTGACATATAGGCACTTGAAGTGTATATATTTTATAGTATTTCTCCTTTAAGACACTGAATGTATAGTATACTGGTATAATCCATGGGCTAAATGCAGAATAGCAGAAGATCCAGTCTGTCTCAAGAAAGAAACTGTAATCCCATGAAAGATTTATTGTTTAATGTTTCATGTTGTTTTTCCTATTGTATGATATGCTGTTGATAATATAAACCAAGAAAAATATTGTTAGTTGATTCTGATTAGTGGACTTGACACAGTTTGGGAGTACAACAAATCTTTCAGAATTCAAGGAAGACTTGACCCTGTACTCTCTGAAATTTAAATATGTTAATAGGAATCAGTCAACCAAGCAAGATAAAATGTAACCGATTGTCATGGTTCAGTTATTAACCCTCCCACTTTATGTTTGGGAGGTCCTAGTTCAGTTCTTAGGCCAGGGGCTAACTAGCTTAGCAGGTTTCTCTTGTTTCGTGGTTCCTTGAAGAAAATTCCAATATAATATCTTAAAAAGAGAGAAATTCCACTTCCATATCCTCGTTAGTTCATCTTCATTTTAATTGTCCTGTTTGATATCAGCATTTGAGAATGCTTCATTAAATAAAGCAAGAAATAAACTTTGTCAGGTATGTCAAACATTTATGGAAAGTTAAGGGAGTATCTCTTGTAAATGTGTCACAGCATTAAGCCAGAGAACAATCTTGTGATGATATGCGTGGCTGTAAGCATGTGGGAAGGTGAGTTCTGTTGTGACGAATTTAATGCTTTTCTCTTTGCAAAGTTCATCTTCCAAACTGAAAAGATAATTTCTTTGTGAAGTTGAAGTTGACTGAATGTCATCAGTTCTGTTTTGTAATAGTTGCCTGTTTAGTGTACAATTTAGAGAGAAAAACATGAGTTTACATTGCAGTGAAATCCGCATTTATGGTTTTGTCTTGAGAAATATCATGAAAGGGGGTTAGATAAAATTCAACAAAAAACTTCATTCAATTGTTGATTACAAATATTTGCTTTAATATATCAGATAATTGAAAAATTTATGTTGCATAAGTCCAAAAACAAAGTACATGGATGATGTGCCCAACTGCTGTTTAAAGTCAGCTTCTTTTTGTGCAATAGATCTATAATATATGTATAGTATTTATGCAATTAAATGTAATATACACATGTATTTCAGTACTAAGAAAAACTTCTAAATACAAACAACACATAAGTGATGTTAAAATTACTGTTGGAGCTTCCCTGAGTATGCAAAGGACGTATATGAGTAACACTACTAGTATGTTGCTTCTGCTCACTCCTCCCACATGCATTTGCTCAAGGTCTGCAAGATGACATACAAACTTCAAGGTCTCTTTGAGAAAACAACACCAAAGTGTAAATATAGTAGTTACATGGATGAAGGGGGCACGAGGTAGCGTAGTTGGTTGAGGCACTATGCTACAAGCCAGAAAGATTAGGGTTTGAGTCCTGATGAGGTAGAGTTTTTTTTTTTCTATTGAAGTAATCCTTCGAGCCACACTATGGCCCTGGGGTTGACACAGCCTCTAACAGAAATGGGTACCAGGAATCTTCCTGGGGGGTGAAGGGTGGCCAGCGCATAAGACTGAGAACCTTACTTCCATCTGTGAGCCGATTGTGTACAAAAAATATGGAAGCCTCAATGGCTCACAACCTTATGGGCCTTCACGTCCTGTTACAGGTGTAGCTTTACCTTTTACATGGAAAAGATGACACCTTGCTAAGAAACATGCCTGCACCTAAAATGCAACTAAAAGTAAAAGTAAAGCTATTGCTGTACCAGGCCGTGAAGGCCCATAGGGTTGTGAGACGTTGAGGGTCCCACACTATCTAGACAATTGGCTCAAAGATGGCGGTAAGGTTGTCAACCTTATGCGCCGGCCACGCTTTACTCCCCAGGAAAATAATATAATTTACTCATTTCTGTTAGAGGCTGAGTAAACCCCAGGGCCTAGTGCGGCTGGAAGGATTAGGTCAACTGAAAAAATCCAATGACCTCATCGGGATTTGAACCTGCGACCTTCCGGCTTGTAGCATAGCCCCTCAACCAACTACGATACCGCCTGCCCCTATAAAATGCAACTGTGTATGTTAATTTCATACAGTTATTACAGGCAAATGTGTGAAAGATAACTGTAGCATGTAGACCCATTGGTAGGCAGCAACCATGGAATAAGCAAATATACAGCAGCTATAGCTGAGTACCACCTTTGCAGACAAACGTGTTCCCATGGCAACAGCTGAACTACAACACAGCGGTGTTTTCTATGTGGTCTGTAGAGAGGTGTTTTGAGCACGACAAGTCTAGAGTTGTTAGTTGTGAGACATTTGCCAGCCAGTAAGGACGTGAACATGGAAGCTGAGGGATCTATGGTGTTGGAAGCCATTACAAGACAAATGCTGAAAACAGCAGACTCAGAAGACTTACTGTGTGCTGTAGTGAATTAGTGATATCACTATAGTTACTTGTAGTTACAGTCTAAGTGGGTGATAAATCCAGTTACCAGTCCAGACCCTGTATATAGTTGCTCTTAACATGTGACACTACTGTATATATGAAAACATGTTATATATTAAATCATCTCATTTCTCACATCTTATATCTTGACCATTCCGAACTTCATGACTTTTGCTGTAATATCTCTGTGTGGGCCATCACATTTTCTGATTCATAGCTTCAGTGGTTCTTTGGACAAGCTTGTAGATCATGGATCCTGAAGTTGAAACATATTTCTGTTTCACTTACTATGATGACAGCACCATATAGCATGAATATTAGTATTTACTGCATCTTAGAAACAGCCTCTTGGAAAGTAAAAGTGTTTGAAAACAATACTGTATTTTCAAATTCAAATTGAAGACAGCCCTTTATTCTTTAACTCTGAAAAGAGGGAAAGCCTAATATTCAACTCTCTTAATTATGATACTAAATTGAGATACAGATTTTGTGTGGATTTTCATTTACGAAATGAGAAACACTAAATAAGGAGGAATTATATTATTTATATGAGACTGTCTGGATCCACTAAAAATGAACACACAGTGGAGGAATCTCTTGAACTGAGAAACCTTAAATTTTGATTCCACTATATGTGGATATTTTTCTTTCGTTATAAGATTTGAAGTGTTCGTGATAACTGTGAAGGTTGCTGTCTTCTGGTATGTGGTGCCATGTATCCTAGTAGATTGTTACTGACATTTAGGAGGACTATGCTGCCTTCATCTTCAGGATATGCTGCCCTGAAATGGAGGCAGCACATTAATTCAAATGTTGGTAATGATCTACCAGACAATTCAGTGACATCAAAGAAGACAGTTATCTGCAGATTCCTTTTCTGTTATGTTATATTGTAGTGGCTGGTGCTTCCAATTATAGTCTTATTAACCATCCTGACATTGGCAGTGGTAGTGTTCATTTAGTAGCTGGGGCACCCGTGGGGTGCACTCCAAAAACTCTGTTGCTTGGAGTACGACATTCATCATGATGGGTGGAAGAGAGGGCCCACAATGTAATATGGACTGCAAATCACAATGTGATTTGTGAGCATCCCTCACATTCACAACTGTCAGAAATGAGGGAAAATCCAAAATGGATGGTGGCTGGGAGAGGACACGTCTTGTTTTAATATGAATAAGGAGTTGCCCTGTGCATTAAGCATAACACCATGAAAGTGTATTATGTATGGGTAAGTGGAGGTATACCTCCATGCATTTTTGACCTTGGTGATAGGTAGAGATGAGTGATCAGCTTCATGACGAGTCTGGGTGGACCCCAAAACTGATCTTGATGTATTGTTGAAAGAGAAATATTTCTGCCCTTGCTTGGAATTAAACCCCAGCCATCCATTCTGTGGCATAATGCTGTAATGACAGCAATACCAGTTGTGCTTAATGTGAGTCCTGAACCACTGTCTAGCATTCTTCACATTCACAAAGATATTAGTAGATATGACTGTTTTCAGGTTGTAAGCAAACAACCATTCTCTTTTCTTGTTTGGCTTACCTTTTGACCCTGAAGGTGGTATGTTCCTCTGAAGTGTTGGGTTGTGTCTATACTCTGCAGCATTACAACTCAAGACTGTACTCTCCAGCTATATAAAAAAATCCATCTGGTCTCAAACTTAAGATCAGAAGTCCAGTGCCTAGTCCGTAGACTGTCCACCCTCCTCTGCAATATAGGGAGGCAGAATTTGTTGTTTTATATGCATGTTATTTTAATATAAAATAATTGGGAGTACTGTGGCAATAGGGACACAATCGTTTAGAAAACAGTGTAACTGAATCTTTTTCTCCATTTCCAGAACCACATTTTTAAAAGGCATGTAGCACCATTTAATTTCCTAACTGCTATATCTGTGCTGCCTGACCAAACACTAATATGCATGTTGTCAGCATAGATTGAAATGGCTGTTAGAGTAATTTAGAACTGATGGAATATCATTAATATAAATATTGAAGAGTGTGTGTCAGAGTAAGATACCCTGATGTATTCTGGCCTGATTGGTGTGTTACTGCACATTAAAGAAAATGCTCGATTTTGTAGATATTTGTGTATTATATGTATTAAGTGAGGTGGGATTTTGACTGTAATAATTTTAGCAATTAACTCTGTGGTCCAAACCTCTTTGAATGCTTGCTCACTGCCCAGAAATAACGGTACTGTAGCTTCATTGTTAAAATCATGCATAATGTGCTCTGTGTTTCTTAACAATGCATGCATTGTGGAGTGTCCACTTTTAAAACCATATGCGTCATTTCTGATAACCTTCAGCTCCCTAAAAAGCTAGAAGTTTAGTCTTTTCAAACTGTTTTTCTCATAAAATTTACTAGACTTACTGGTGTATAATTCAGTGGGAATGTGTGGTTTTTGCCCGGTTTTGGAAGCAGAATAATTTTATCCTCTTTCCATTGTGTAGGAAAATAATTTAGTGCAAGTGATCTAATAAATGTTTTGTCAGTAGATTTGAGCGCTAGCTGTGGGAAATGTTGAAGTATTGTATTAAGTATACTGTAAGCCTTACAGTATACTTAATATAATACTTCAACATTTCAAAATAAGAAAAAAATAAACTCCTTTGCAGATACCTTTGTACAAATTTCTATTTTGATCATATCTTTATTGTTAACACTTAACACTCAGTGAATGACACTGACAGACTGGGCAAGGCCTACAGATCCTTCTGAAATTGCACACTGTAAGGTCTAGCTGCCTTGCATGGTTTAAGGTGGTGGAAAATCCAAGCAATTTCAGAATGATCTGTAGGCCTTGCCCAGTCTGTCAGTGTCATTCACTGCGTGTTAAGTGCTAACAATAAAGATATGATAAAAATAGAAATTTGTACAAAGGTATCTGCAAAGGAGTTTATTCTTTTCTTATTTTGAGGTCCAACTTTTTCCAGTAATGGTAAGGGTTGCTATATTAGGATTAAGCACAATAGATCATTGAAGGTCGCAGTTCGGGGGCCGGTTTTTATGGCTCACCCCTTACATACAATATATTAGGATTAGAGTTTTTTAAGCATTTTGTTATCCTGAAGGTGTCTAGCCCATATAAAGTTTTCCGCCAGGTGTTAGACAATTGTTTTTTGATCGTCGAATGTATTTGCTTATTCGTGCTTTCTATGCATTCCATTGTGTCATCCGCAATACGCGGTGCTAACACGATCTCATAGATTTCATATTAGTCAAGATTGACCCATACCATGCTCATAGATGGCAGGAAACGAACATGTGACGTCATGCACGTCAAATGAATAACAGATTTTCCGATCTGGGGACTATGTCTGAGTGTATGTCCACAGGTAAAACACATTGTAAACCGCGGTGATCTGTGACCTCTGTGATACTCTGTGATGTCTGTGACCACAACGTGACTGCAAATAGCTGTTAATCGTCTGCATTGGTTATGGCTTCAATATTACGGTCGTCAAAGTTTGGCCGTTATTTCGCTGGTCTTGCACGCAGTATAGTTTTTAATTCAGCTAGAGGGGATGTAGCTGGAACATTTATCCAAAGGAGCGAGTGCCTGAGCACTGGATTAACGAAGTATGTTTAGGTACTTTATCTTATGTGTAATGAGGTTAGATTATCTTTATAAGAACGTTTCTCACATGTTCATCAGCCAGGTAGTTATGCAGTGAGATACATGCGACGTTTCTATGATGTATTGGATTTTGGAACGTCATGATTACCCTGTAAGACACAGATTTCATTGAATGGCCCAAGGTTCAGAAATTTGTTGGATTTAAGTGAAATTAGGTCGAGACATAAGTTAAAACTGCGTGAAGGTCAGTTATTCCTTTTCTTAGAAAAGTTTTAGGCCTAACGTAGTGCAGAAATTTGTATTTGTCATTCACTGTCGGTACTTTGATTCTCAAAGATTACCTCCAAAGTAAAAGCACAGAATCAAAATGCTTGGTATATTTTTCTTGATTTGTTTCATTCTGGCCCATCACAGTAACGATTACAAAGACAAAACCAACACTGTCCAATGTGACTGTTTAATATATATGGACAAATTAAGGTTTAAAAAGTGCTAATTTAAAAATCAAATCGACGCGTGTAGATTAACAAAGATTTTATACAATTAGAAAGACTGAGATTTTTACATTTTTAACAAGCAGTGTAACAGTTACGTGAGTGATACACACCTGATGATGGCCATTTAGGGCCGAAACATGTAGTGTGGAGGAGGAAAAAGAGGAAAAAACTACAATAAAATTGTTGCACTTAAGACGGTATTTGTCCATATATATTGTGTGAGTGTAACAGGATGCTGAAATATAATATTATATTGTGACTGTTTAAGTTTTATCACTTTAAAACTCATCACCCATACAAGTCTCGATCCCTACGGATCATCCTCAGAGGGCATCAATACTTTTTTCAGAAACTACTATTACAATAGGTGTTAAATTATATACATACACACATGATGTCTGAAATATACAATGTACACAACGTTCAACTTTTCACAGTCACAGCAGCCCTCCTGGTATTAAATTTTTAAAGTTTTTTTAAAAACTTTGTTGTTTAAGATTAAAATTTATAAACTATGCAGGTTCGTGTCAATTCTCCTATTGTCTTTCTTGGAGGTGGCTGATCTTGTGCCACTAGAAAGGAGATTCTTAGTATTGTCCGTGTTTGTTCGTGGCTTGCTGTGTAGTTTACACACAGCAAACAACACAGCATGTTTCGATCCCTACGGATCAAAACGTAAGGGTGATGAGTTTCCAAGTGATAAAACTTAAATAGTCACACTGGATGGTGTTGGTTTTGTCTTTGTGCTTGGTATATGTTTAAAATATAAAAAGAGGTTGTCCTGAAAGTGTCGAAAATCAGTTCGGTCATAGGAACAGCAGCTACTCACATCAACTCACACTGTACACGTGCTGACCCACAGTGAAGTTGCCAAACCCATAGGTGAACAAGTCACAAATCCCAATCAGACCATGACAAAGGACAGAAATGGCTCCAGTTATATGTGCATGCCTCACATGTCTATCAGATGTTCGTAAGTTAATGTTTGGAAGCAGGGCAAACCTGAAACATTAAAACCTGTTCTCCTGTACAGTAGCCCTGCTGTTCATAATATTAGTATAGATAAGGCAAGGATAAATTCATATGAAGTAATCTGTATTAGTAATGGACTATCTGATCACAATGCTCAGTGTCTTGTACTAAAAAATATCAATTTCATGGAGAAGAAAACAATGCAGGGAATCGCAAGAAGATTGGGAAATGAAGACTCAATTGCTCAATTTCTTAATAAACTATTTAATGAAGAATGGGAAAATATATATAAACTAAATGATGTAAATGAAATATTCAACTCATTTTTAAATAAGTATTTACTTTTCTTTGAGTCATTCTTTCCAAAGCAGAATGTAACAGATGAACTCAAAGGTAATGGCTGGATAACAGTTGGTATACATACATCCTGTAGACGGAAGGAATCCTTGTTCATTCTCTGTCAAAACAATTACAACTATTTGTTTAAATCATACTATAAATCCTACTGCATGATATTAAGAAGAGTAATAAGAGAAGCTAAAAGGAAATATTAAAATCAGTTAATCACATCAGCTGAAAACAAAATAGAACTACCTGGAACATTATCAACACTGAAACAGGTAGGACTAACAATCAGAATAAAGAACGTCTACCACAGACTTTTCAAAATAATAATAAAAAAATAAATACTGAAGAATTAGCTCATAGTTTTAATAAATATTTCACATCAATAACAGAAAATCTTAATACTAAGAAAACTAATGTTTATACTACAGTGTCATACTTGCATTCCCATTTCTCAAAAGGTATTCCAGATATGAATCTTAATTTAGCTGCAGAAGAGGAAATAATTAATATATTTAGCAAATTAAAATCAAAAGACTCTTCAGGGGATGATGGTGTAAGAAATAAAATTATAAAACTGTGCAGACAACAATTTTGCCTGTGGTTCTGTATGGGTGTGAAACTTGGTCTCTGACATTAAGGGAGGATAATAGACTGAGGGTGTTGAGGAGAATATTTGGACCAAAGAGAGATGAAATCACAGGAGGTTGGAGAAAATGCATAATGAGGAGCTTCATAACTTGTACTCTTCTCCAAGTATAATTAGAGTGATCAAGTCGAGGAGGATGAGGTGGGCAGGTCATGTAGCATGAATGGGGGCGACGAGGAATGCGTATAGGATATTGGTGGGAAAGCCAGAAGGAAGGAGATCACAGAGAAGACCAAGGCGTAGGTGGGTGGATAATATTAGAATGGATCTTAGAGAGATAGGATGGGATGGTATGGATTGGATAGATCTGGCTCAGGATAGAGACCAGTGGAGGGCTCTTGTGAACACGGTGATGAACCTTCGGGTTCCATAAAATGCTTGGAAATTCTAGAGTAGCTGCAGAATTGGCGGCTCCTCAAGAAGGGCTCAGCTCCATGAGTAAGTAAGTGCAGACAACAAATCAGTAAACCTCTAACTTATGTAATTAATAAGTCATTAACCATGGGCCTATATCCAGAAAGATTAAAATATGCAATTATTAAGCCAGTATAGATAAAAGGGGAAAAGGCTGTTATAAGTAACTACAGGTCAATATCTATAGTAACTGGGTTTGCAAAAGTTTTTGAAACAGCAATTTTCAGAAGACTCAATGAACATATCATAAAACATAAAATATTACTTTCAGAGCAGTATGGATTCCAAAAGGGATTACCTACCAGAGATGCAATGTTTAAATTAACCAATGTACTACTTACAGCTTGGAACAGGAAAGTATATGTAACTGGTATAATTTGTGACATAGCTAAGGCCTTTGACTGTGTTAATCATGATCTTCTGGTAATGAAACTGCAGTACTATGGAGTGCAGGGTGTGTTATTGCAGTGGTTTAAATCTGACCTCCAATATTGGAGGCAAAGACTGGAATTAAATTATATAAATAACAAATATTATTCTAACTGGGAAATTGTTGGATGTGGTGTGCCTCAGGGATCGGTGTTGGGACCCTTACTCTTTAGTATATATATATATATATATATATAAACGATTTCCC